AGTAATTATCAATATATCTTGATTGCATGTGTGAACATTTTTGCACTGAAGAAATTGGTAGAATTTTTCAATTTCATCATCACTGGCTTTAGTGGTTGGTGCATAAAGTTAAATAATATGGTATTAACTGATATTCCTCATGTAGTTCTTGTGGTGGTGGTGGTGGTGGTGTGCCGTCGAGTTGGGTCTGACCATAGAGTCTCTGTACAGGGTTTCTGAGGAGTGACTGGTGAGCTTGAACTGCCGACCTTGTGGATCAAACCGACTTTGCAGTCCAGCACATTAACCACACCAGGACTATTCTATCACAGACAGCTTTGTACTTTAAGACCTTGAAATGTTCTTTTTGATGATGAATGCAAGGCCATTCATCTTGAATTTGTCGTTCCCAGCACAGTGAACTATATGATTATCATATTCAAAATGGCCAATACCAGTCCACTTCAGCTCACTGATACCTAGACTATGCATCTTTATGCATTCCATTTCATTTTTGACAACCTCCAATTTTCCTAGATTCATGCTTTATACATTCTGTGTTCTGATTATTAATGTATGTTTTCAACTGTTACTCTTCATTTTGAGTTGTGCCCCATCAGCAAAAGAAGGTCCAGAACGCTTTACTCCATTTGTATCATCACTGCCAACTCTACTTTGAGGAGGCAGCTCTTCCCCAGTCATATTTTGAGTGCCTTCCAGCCTGTGAGGTTCATGTTCTGGCATTGTGTCTGACAGACGAAATTCTGATGTTCTTCATAATATTTTCATCTTCCGACACTATAGCTGATAATGTTTTGCAACTATTCATAAACTTTTCAGTGGCTAAACATTCCGAAGTAGTCTGGCTCTTCCTAGTCTATCTTGGTTTGGAAGCTCTGCTGAAACCTGTCCACTGTGGGTAGACCCTGTTTGTATTTAAAATCCCAGTAACACAGCTCTCCTTCTTCCAACTCTGCCTTAATTTGTAAGCTCCACTGAAACCTGTCCACCGTGGGTGACCCTGCTAGTATTTAAGGTACTGGTGGCATAGCTTGCAGCAGTATATCTGCAACACACGAGCCACCACAGTGCAACAAACTGACAGATATGTGGTGGACAGTTGTTGTGGTATTCTGTTGGTAATCCTTTTTATTTCTGTTCTTTCTGTTTTGATGGCACTCATTTCCCACTCATTTTATCTGGCTCTTCTTTTCTTTTGTTATATATGACAATGGTTTATCAATTTTATTAATCCTCTCAAAGAACCAACTTTTTGTTTTGTTGATTCTTTCTACTGTTCTTCTGATTTCTATTGAATTTACTTCTGCTCTAACCTTTATTATTTCTTTTCTTCCAGCAGCTGCAGGTTTACTTTGCTGCTCTTATCCTGATGTTGGAGCTGTTTGATTGACTTGTTGATTTTTATTTTTTCTCCTTTTTGGATTTGTGTGTTAATTGCTGCAAATTGCCCTCTAAGCGCTGTTTTTACTATATCCCAAAGGTTTTGGTATGTTGTGTTTTCATTCTTGCTTGATTCAAGGAGTGTTTTTTTCTGTTTGTTTGTTTTTATTTCATTTTCTGTTTCTTCTATTACAAAGTAACTTTTAAGCAGGGTGTTCATCAATTTGCATGTATTTGCTTTTATTCCTCTTAATCTTCCTATTGTTGATTTCTAACTTTATAGCATTATGATATGAGACGATGCTTTGTAGTGTTTGGATGATTTTAAATTTATTGAGGTTTGCTTTGTGGCCTAATACATGTTTTATTCTGGAGAACGTTCCTGGTGTATTGGAGAAGAGTGTATATTGTGCCGGTGTTGGGTGTAGTGCTCTGTGTATGTCTGAGATCAGGTGGGTTGATTATGCTGTTTAATTCTCTCTTTGTTGAGTTTTTCTTAGCTCTTTTTGTCTTTCATCAGAATTTGAACTACAAGGTCAGCGGTTCAAACTAACCAGCTGTACCTTGGAGAAACCCTTTCCAGGACCGCTATGATTCGGAATTAACTCAATGGCACCTAACAGCAACAACTATTATTGTGGAGTTGTCTGTTTCTCTTCAGTTCCATTGGAGTTTGATTTATGTGATTTGAAGTTCTTTTACTGGTATCACAGATATTTATTATGGTTACGTCCTGTTTCAATTGAGCTTTTAATCATGATCTTCTTTTACTCTTATGCTGGTTTTTGCCTTTAAGTTTATTTTTTCAGAGATTAATATTGCCATTCCTGCTTGTTTTTTTGAATGGCATTAGCTTGGTAAATTTTTTTCCATCCTTTGATTTTTAGTCTGTTTTTGTCCTTGTAAAGTGCATGTGGTACCTGGCATTTACTTGATATGACTTTTCTATCCAGACTCTTAATTCCCACCAGATGATTGGGTGGGATCGTGCAAATATGGTGTATAGGACTCTAATGCTGGAGTTGGTTCATTTTGCCATTGGTTTAAAGGGAGCCATCTCATACCATCTCATGGCCATGAGCAGAAAATGAGATCCCTACTTTAAAAAGTGGTGACAGCAGAGGTGGTGGCAAAGGCAGACTTGGAGACATAGATGTAGGAAAAGAAGAAAAACAAAAAGCAGAGATTAAAAAGATAAAAAGGAAGGAAAGGGGAGAGAGAAAGGAAGAAGGAAAAGAAACAAAAGCAAAATGAAATAGTGCCAGTGATGGACACAGAGACAAACATTTTAGGTGACTCCTGTTAGCCAAGGAGCTCATGAGATGGTTGGAGGGCTGAGATGGTAGTGTTTCTGCCCCTAAATGCATTTCCTGTAGCACTGGCTAGGCAGCCAGCCTCGGGCTTCCTCCAGTTCAAGGCTGATCAGGTGTTTCTGTGGGCTCTGTATATCTTGAACAGGGCCCACTCGATTCCAGGGACCAAGGCAGCACAGTTGATGCCCACCTCACTCCAGCATGTCCCACAGCCTCAAGGCTTTGAACTCCCAGACTGCAGGGGGCTGTGATGAGGGCTGGCCACACCTCTGGTCACCAGGGGAACTTGGGGAACAAAAAAGAAGCACACCTTTCCCACTTTCAGTCCTCAGCGAGAATCTACACTGCCAGGCCATGGTTTATCTCAGAAGATCCCGCTAAAAGTTCAAAATGGCTGCATCACGTCTAACTGAGAAACTGTTCACCAGTCTCTCCCTCCCCCACTTCTCCAACCTTTCCTCTGAAATCAGGGTTCCAGGATTATTCCTCAAAGTGTGTTTCATTTGGTCTCCCTGATTTTTGTTGTAGAAGGTCTGAGTAGCATTTCTATCTACTCCATCATCTTGGTTCCTCCTCAAGAAAGTAAATTTTTCAACAACTAAATTTTTTCTTTAATGTAATGGTTGAAGAAGCTTTGCTTTGTGATTTAAATCACGAAGTACTTTTGTGCATTTTAAACTTGTCAGTATTTTTAGTAATTCTAATTAGAGTTTGTTATTACTATTATTTTAAATGTTGATATGGTTATAAAGTTATAATCTGGGTTTTGGCTTTTTGTTAATTTCAAACTGAATTGTTTGGTATATATTAGGTCATATTTGGCTTATTTTATTGCCCTTATTACAAAAATACAGTTTTCCCTTCTTGAAAGAAAGACCTACAGGAAGAATACAAAACAATAGAGGCAGACAGACTGTTAACTACAAGAACAAACAAGTTGCTTGCCCAGGAAACATCAAAGCAAGTGATTGGGTCCCCTCAGTACAAACCCCCTTCCTAGACTAAGACTCAATGGGAATACACACTCCGATTGGTGACCATGCTTGTCATTGATTAGGGGAAGTGAGGGGAAAAACAACAATGAAGTGGTGAGCTAAGACCGACAATATGGAGAGTGAAGCATTTCAGCTGATGAAAAGAGAGGGCATATGCACAAGAACACTCACACTTGCAGATAATACCCACTTGACCTGGCTTGAATGACCGGATGATCAGAGCTCAACCAGAAGAAGAAAGAAGAGGAAAAAAAGAGTAATCTGATGCAATTTGATGGACTTGACCTACACCTGAGGAAGCAGTAGGTCAAAAGAGGGAACAAATTCTTACAGCAAGAATCATTCCTACCCCCTCCACACACAGAGTAGATAGGGATGGGCAACTTAGACACTGGCTATGCAAAATGGGGGGGGTGGGGGTGGGGTAGGGCTACAAAGGCAAGAAGTGACTGGCTTACAAGCTTTCAAGAGGGAACCTAGATCCAGAGGGCATGGAGGAAGGCAGAATCTCCAGTGAGTAGTATCCAATCTGTCTAGGCGGAGTTGATGAAATGAAATGCAGATGGGTCTCTTATGATACAATAGTGAATAATTGTTATCAGGACTGATTGTGAAGGTTGGAAATGTAAAGGTAGACATTTAATAGCATGGAAGGAAGTGATTAACTTTTCAGTCTAGGAGCAGAGGTCCCTGGGACCATCAATGGAGAAGAGCCGAGAACGGGACCCTACCCAGAGAAACAGTGATGCCTGAGATGGAGGCAGCGACAATGATGTGGAGCAATGGAGCAGCTGGGGGCTTTAGATCCAGAGAGGGAGAGCGACTGTGTGCTGAAGACTTGGGGGAGGGGGGGGAGTGTAGGGGGCAGGCTTGCAGGGTATACCCTTTGATTGGTTGATGATGCTGGAGGGGATTGTAACCATGGCAATGATATGATGTACAATAGGATGAATGTAAAACTAATGTTCTCCCATGTAAACTATCATATAATTCACAATAAAACACTAAAAAAATTAAAATTAAAATACAGTTTTCCAAAACTGCTGTTTTTTAAAAAAACAGTGCTTACTTTTAAAACATTTGCCTAAATCATAAAAAACATATAGCAGTTGAAGTTGTTCTGAAAGTACGTCTCCAAGTATTTCTACTGACTTGTGAAAATGAATGTGGAATTTATGTAAATTGTTTGTTTTGTTTATTCACTAATTGGTTGCTGGTTAAGTTACCAGGAAATTGCCTATTTTCTTTGAGACATTTATTTTCCCTCAATCAAAAAACCTTATGTTGGTATTTGAAATCTGTTCTCTACTAGGGATCAGCACTTGTATAGCAGTGACTCATTGTATGTTCCCGATGACAGAGTGTTTGTTACGGAGACTCAGGTTATTCGGGAAACTTTATGGTAAGACCTCTTATTCTAATCCATAGTCTAAAAGGCTTCATTTGTGAGATAGAAAATGTATTTTAAATGGAAAGTGTTCAGGAGTATGAAACTAGTAGCAGTATGAACACAGTTCCCAGTAGGCATTTAAACTTGGATTGGCAGTATCTGGAAGCCCGGACTTGAGATTTGACCATGAAGATTGTGAGATTTTGATACGTTTACTTCCTTTCCATTTTAAGTGATCTATTCCATGATTTAATTAGATTAAGCCATGTTTTAAATATCCTGAGTTTAAAGCAAGTCTCTACAGTGCTGTTTATTGCCTTTAACCGAGTATTATGCAGTTGAAGAAACTACAAACCAGGAACTAATAGAACATCCCCAAGAATTTAGATTGTAACAAAATGTGTATGAATTGTTGAATGGAAGACTGATCTGCTCTGTAAACCTCATTCAATCACAAGTGAAGGTTTTAAAGAAAAATAATTTTAGATTGTATTCACACATAAATGAAAATGAAAATTACAGCATGTGGTGCTGTTACTTTTTTAATTTCCAGGTTTAGTTGCATTCTACCATAAAGCATAATACTGATAGTCCTTAAAATGGTAGATCTGTTTGGATCATCAAGTTTATACATAGAAATGCTCTGTGAATATTATTTTAAATGCCACTACAGTATGATATTGGAGTATTGGTGTGGTGCTGTGGGCTAATGCGCTGATCTGGAAGGTCAATTTGAACCACAAGATTGGCAGTTCAAGTTTACCAGCCGCTCCTCGGAAACTCTATACAGCTCGCTATGAGTCAGAAGGACTCAACAGCACTTAACAACAGTATGATATTAAGGAGCCCTGGTAGAATAGGGGATTATGAGCTGGCCTGCTAACCACAAGGTCCATAGTTCAGTTCTATCATTTGCTACATGGGAGAAAGATAGATGATACTTTCTGCTCCTATAAAGATTTACAGCCACAGAAACACTCTACAGGGTCACCATGAGGCAGAACCAACTCCACGCACACCACCACTGCAATCTTGAGTCTTCAGAAAATTAAAAACAAAGATTTCATTTCCATTTTTTTACTGTATTACCTTTGGAAGCTGTATTTTCTTTTTTCCCCAAAAATTCTGATTGTTTCATTAAAATTTCTTCGGCATTTTTGTAATGAAAAACTTTTAGATTTAAAAGCACATTTATCTTTTTTATGTCATTTCAGGTTACTTTCAGGTGTCAAAAATCTCTTTATATTTCAGTGGACAGATGGGAAGATAACTGTGAGAAACAATATTGTAGTAACTCATTTAACACATGTAAGTTATTTGTATTATAATTAGAGAATTAAATAAGTGTAAACCATTTTAATATTATTTTAGAATGTTTTTGATATTAAAATTAACGGTTAAATATAATCTAATAGGCAAAATTAAGCTGTGGATCTACACAGGGTTCAGAGAATTCTTTAATTTTGTTTGTAATGTTCATATTGGGCTTTGATTTCCATTTTCTGCTTTTTATTTCTGTCATTTTGTATGGGGAAAGACTACTAAATTTAAGATACTGAAATCATCAGAAAGTTGTAAACTACTTTTTTTATTACTGTAGTACATTTAAGAAACCCTGGTAGCATAGTGAGTTACGTGTTGGCCTGCTAACCACAAGGTTAGCAGTTCTAATCTACCAGCTGCTCTGTGGAAGAAAGTTGAGGCTTTCTGCTCTGGTATGGATTTACAGTCTTGGGAACCCTATGCATAGTCACTATGAATCAGAACCGACTTGATGGCATGTAGCAGCCACATAGCACATTTCCCTTACGTGTGTTTAAAAACAGTATAAACGCCAGTTCTGTGTTCTCTAGAAATTGTTGTCTTCTCTAGTTCCTTTGTATATAAAGCTAAATTTTAATTTTTTTACTACTTCATTTTTTGCAAAGTACACAGCACAAAATATTCACACAGGAAATATTTTAAAGCAAGAGGAATATTCATTTATTTGCAGAGGTTTGACCGTAAATAATTGTTGTTTGCTTCTGCCATAGAGCTGTTTACGATCAGTGCTGGAACAAATAGCGGCATATGGCCAGGTTGTGTTCCGGCTCCAGGAGTTCATCGATGACGTCATGAGGCACAGTTCTGACAGCGCACTCCCTGGGAACTGTTCCATTCCAAAGAAGTCTGCCAAAGCTCCCTTTAGGACCTACCAGGCTTTCATGTGGGCCCTGTACAAGTATTTCATTAGTTTTAAAGAAGAACTTACAGAAATTGAGAAGTCTATCATCAGTAATGGTATTTAGTTGTTCTTCACTCTTACTCATAAGACACACAACTCTACATGCCATTTTAGCTTATTAATTGATACAAGAATTAGCAATTACATGGCAAATAAGTAATTCTTAGGACTGCACGTGTCATTTATTACTATTTTAAATTTACTTTTAAAATCATTTGTATCTCTAAAATTCTAAAAAGTACAAAAGAATTTACAGTGAAAATTGGATTTCCTACTTCAAATCCCCAGCTGCTCAGTTTCCTTCCCTTGAGGTAGTCAGTTTCTTGTACATCCTTCCAGCAAATGCACATACAAAGGGATTTCAAAAAATTCGTGGAAAAGATCATGGAATTTTATCATGCATTTTGGAAGCCCCCTCATACATACATACCTTGTAGTCTACAATATTCTCCTCAAATTGCTTTCTAATTTAAGTTTCAAGGATTACACCGTACATATATATAATTAGCCCCCACGTCCTTTTCTACTTTTTTTTTTTTTTTGTAGACTTAGTCTTTCCTTATATGGACATATCAGAAAATGAAATTACATATGGCTATTGCTGTTGTTGCTAAGTGCAAACCCTGTATAGGGTTTCCAAGGAGTGGCTGGTACATTTGAACCACCACCTTGCAGTCCCATTGACCTTGCGGGTTAGTGCTTATCCTATAGTGCCATCCTGAGATGGGCGTTTACATTGTTTCTGATCTGTTGTCCTCGGCAGTGATGTAATGACAGCTACTTATAGATTGTTGTTGTTATGTGCCGTGGAGTCGGTTCTGACTCACAGCAACCCTGTATAGGGTTTCCGAGGCTATACATTTTTATGGGAGCAGAAAGCCTCATCTTTCTCCCCCGGAACAGCTGGTAGTTTCGAACTGCTGACCATGAGATTAGCATCCCGATTCATAACCACTACGCTACCAGAGCTCCTTTACTTATAGATGGTATTGTTGTTAAGTGCTGTCGAGTCGGTTCTGACCCATAGCGACCAGGACTCCAGATATAAGTAGTTATACATGTATGCAGGCAGTTGTGTATAGAATAAATTCTTAAAAATGAGAACTGTTGGGTCAAACGATACGTGTTTGTGATTTTGGAAGATACTGCCACGTTGCTTTACGTGACAGTACATATTTAAATTTACGCTCCTGTCAACAGTATAAAACTCTGTTTCTTCACGCTCTTGCTGACAGTGTGTTGTCAAATTTATCTCAGTGTACTTTTTTCTTTTTTTGCTTTGCAAGGACTTAACAAATAACACCAAGTGATCTCAAGTTCCATCGCCCACCTGACCAATGGTGCCATGTAGTCACGGTGCATTTTCTAAACTAGGAAATGTATATTGGCCCAGCACATCAGCAAGGCTGTAGACTTTGCTTGCATTTCCCAGCTCGTCTGGGCATTCGTTTTTTTTGCTTCTGTTTTGGGTTTCTTTTGAAGGTGGAGCGGTGTCACTTTGTCTCTAGCTGTATGACTTTTCATCACATGTATAGATTCATATTACCACCTCTGTATTCAAGATATAAAACAGTTCTATCTCCACAGAGGAGTCCTGGAGTGCCACTGTGGGTTAACGCATCAGACTGCAAAGTCGTTTGAACTGCCAGGTCGGCGGTTCAGGCTCACCAGCTGCTCTTCAGAAACCATGTACAGGGTCGCTATGGGTCAGAATCGACTCGACGGCACTTCACAACAACATCTCCACAGAGGAACTTGCTCATGTGGCCCTTTAGAGCTGTAGTACGTCCCCACCCTCTCTAACTACAATAGTAGCCAAGTGTAGTTTTTGTCTTACTGGTATAGTTTATGTCTTCATATCCTTCCGAATCATGTATTTCCTTTACTGTGAATTGTCAGTTCCTGTAAACATTATTTTTCTGTCAAGTTACTTGTTTCTTCTTGACTTTTAGGACTTCATTTTTCATTAGGGAAATTAGATCATGGTAATCAGAGATTAAAATCTCCTGCCCCGGTAGCATAGTGGATTACAGGCTGGGCTGCTAACTGCATGGTCAGGAGTTCAAATCTACTAGCAGCTCCATGGGAGAAGGATGAGGTTTTCTTCTCCCAAAAACATTGAAAGCCTTGGAAAACCCTATGGGGGTTGTTAAATGCCGTCTAGTCATTTCCGACTCACATTTACTCTGTATAGGGTTTCTGAGAAGCAGCTGGTGGGTTTGAACTGCCAGCCTCGTGGTTTACAGTACAGTGCTCATACTACAGCGCCACTCCAGGACTTACTATGAGTCAGAAACAACTTGACAGCACACAGCCCTCCCCCCAACACCACAACCCCCTCGTTTGTCATACATGTTTTCATAAGTGACTTAGCATTTATATCAAGTTTTGAATGCTTATCTCTTTCCTTGTCACTGAGTTTGATTTCTTAATATTCACAGATACTACGATAACCCTTTCTATAGTGGTGGACCGGTTATCGCCACGACTGGCACAGCTCAAGGTTCTGCACAAAATATTCAGCACCGGAGTAGCGGAAGTTCCACCGGACACACGAAATGTTGTTCGGGCATCTCACCTCCTCAACACACTGTACAAGGCCATCCTGGAGTATGACAGTGCTGGAGAGGCTTCTGAGAAAACTGTATGTGAGCCCCTATCTGTCTTAAAACGGGATGATGGGGAGCCCAGCACACTGCTTTGTAAAATGAAACTTAAATCACTGTATCAGACAGTTGTCCAAAGCTTTAGAATATGCTTCTGAGTTGGAATGTACCTACACAGGGACCTTCTCTGAGCAGCCTCCCAAACACTGCTATGGAGAATTGGTTTTCTAGCTCAAATTGCCAAGAAGGATGAGGCAAGGACAAAGCAAACCATGAAAAACAAGACTCGAAATATAACTACATGACTCATACTAATGTTTGTAATAACACTTTCTTAGAACTACAACTCTAACTAGAGACTGTAGTCTAGAAAACTGCAGGTTTGGCAGGTTTTTTTTAGGTATTTTTGTAAGTTTGTTGGTGTAACTTTTTGTTAAGCCATTTTGGTATCACATTTAAAAACAAGTCATTAAACAATATTTATTCCTACTGGAAACTATAGCAGAGTGAAATAATTTATCATTCTTAATAGGTATTTTACTAATGGTATTATTTAGACAGGAACCATATTCCAGTTTATACCTGTTGTTCCTGTGTAGTTTTACTTTTAGAGGGTATGGACTACAAATAATCCCAGATTCAGGTGAGTTTTTCTATAGTGTATGTTGTTGTTAAACCCATAACATCTTTATTTCAGAAAAACATAGAAATGAGGGCACTTGTTAATAGAAGTTAGAGAAATGCTTCAACATCCTGTTATCTAGTAATGGGGAAGTTCCCTCAAGTTATGTGGTCATGTTCTCCTCTGCAGGTCTCCCTTTTGTTTTCCCTCTGGGTGGAAACTGTGAGGCCCTACCTGCAGACTGTGGACGAGTGGATAGTGCACGGACACCTATTAGACTGCGCCAAGGAATTCATCATCCAGAGGTGAGGCCCGTAATTCCACATAGTGCATGAAGAGGACACCTTTGCTACTTTCAAGGGTTTTCTCTCATTTAGAAACCAGGTGGTGTTTAGTTTCAGCTGATACTGAGAGACAAATGACAGAACTGTATTGTCAACAAGGGCAAGTTTCGTTGCATTTTAATAGGACATATCAGATCACCAGCAAATTAAAAATACCACTTTCTGAGTTTTATGTCAGTTCTCAACTTTTCTTAGAAAATTTTTTTTTAAACTTTTACTGTGAATTGAGTACAGGTTTGCAGACAAGGTCATCAGATTTTCATTCAACAGATCATGTGCTTTGTTTCATCTCAGTGGTTGTAATTCCCTAGTTAGCCCACGTCTTCCCTGGGCTCCTGTTTGCACTCCATCCTCCTTCCCATCCCTTCTCAGCTGTCCTTGGGTAAATGTTGCCCTTTTGATCTTGAATGTTGGACCATGCCTCACTAGTGTTGTTGTCCCCCCTATAGACCTATCTACTGCTCGACTGAAAGTTGGCCCACGAGGGTGAGTTCCTTTCCAGACCTGAAGGGTGACCAAGGGCCAGAGTCTCAGGTTCCTCCAGTCTCTTTCTGACCAGTAATCATGGTCATTTTTTATAATTTGAGTTTTAGTCCATATTTTCTCTCACTCACTCTGGAACCCTCTAATGCAATCCCATTCAAAGCAGCCAGTACTAGCAACCGAGCACCATCTAGTTCTTCTGGTCTCGGAGTTGTGGAGACTAATGTTCCCTGTTCCATTAGTGTGCTGGACTACCTGATTCCAAGCATCTTCCTTTCTCATCACTCTTCTTTCCTCCATACACGGGGAGGCCAACAGTTGCAACTTAGGTGGCTGCTCATGAGCTTTAAGATCCTAGATGCTTCTTACCAAAGTAAGATATAGAACATTGTCTTTGTGGACTATGTTTGGCCAGTTGACCATGGTGTCCCCTGAAACTATGGTCCTGAACCCCAGGCCTAACAACTTACTGCTTTAAAATGTTTGATAATATCTCAGAAGTTGTCATCATTTTGTCTGCAATATGCTTTACCACATTCATAGGTATATTTGTAGGAAAGGTAAATACCCATGTACAAATATCCTCTTTCAAACTTTTATAAATTTGTGGGTTTCCTCCCACTCTTCTCCCATTACCCATTCAGCCTGTGTGTCTATCCATGTATCTACCTGTACAAGACTTTTGTTCCAAGATTTATATATAACGCTATTTACCTCTATCCTTTTTAGCCCTGGCATACCTCACTGTACCTTTACCTGTCTTCAAAGAATGTTTCTCTTAGCATGAAAAGCTTTTCTTGAGTTTTTACATTGCTGGTGTCATACATCCTTGTGTGATGCTGTAGGAAAAGCACTCAACCACGAGGTCGGTTTGAGCTGCAAGGTTGGTGGTTCAGACTCACCATCCGTACCTCAGAAACTCTATACAGGGTCACTTTGAGTCGGAACTAACTCGACATTTAACAACAACCATTTCACTCAACATAATGTCCTCCTGGTTAGTCCGTGTCATGAGGCATTTTGTTGATTCTTCGTTTTTCTTCACTGTTGCATAGTATTCCCAAGTTTGTTTATCCATTCTTCCATTGATGGGCACTTAGGCTGTCTCCATCTTTTTGCTATTGTGAATAGTGCTGCGATGAACATTGGTGTGCATATATCTACTCGTGTCCTGGCACTTATAACAAATAGAGGGATTGCCAGACCATATGGTATTTCTGTTTCCAACTTTCTGAGAAAATGTCATATTGCATTCCTCAGTGGTTGTTAGGCCCATCGAGTTGGTACCGACTCATACCGACCCTATGCACAGCAGAATGAAACACTGCCTGGTCCTGGGCCAACCTCAAAATCATTACTACATTTGAGCCCATAGGTGCTGCTACTGTGCCAATACATCTCACTGGGAGTCTTCCTCTCTTTCTCTGACCCTCTGCCTTATCAAACATGACTGGCCACTCCTGACAATATGTCCAAATTGTGAAAGACGAAGTCTGGCCATCCTGGCTACCAAGGAGCACTCTTGCTGCACTTCTTCCAACACAGATCTGTTGGTTCTTTTGGCAGTCTTTGGTACTTTCAATACTCTCCTCTAATACCACAACTCAAATGCATCCATTTTTCTATGGTTTTCTTTATTCACTGTCCAACTTTTGCAAGCATATGAGGTTATTGGAAATACCATGGCTTACATCCGGTGCACTTTAGTCTTCAAGCTGACATCTTTGCTCTTCAGCACTTTAAAGATGTCTTGTGCAGCAGATTGGCCTACTGCAATACGTCATCTGATTTCTTGACTGCTGATTCCATGAGTGTTGATGGTTGATCCAAGCAAAATGAAGTCATTGACAACTCCAATCTTTTCTCCTTTTATATGGATGTTATTTACTGGTCCAGTGGTGAAGATTTATCTCGAGGTGTGACCCATATCAAAGGCTGTGGTCTCTGACCTTCATCAGTATTTCAAGTCCTCTTAGTTTTCAGCAAGCAAGATTGTATCATCTGCATATCACAGGTTGTTAATGAGCCTTCCTCCAATCTTGATGCCACGTTTTTCTTCATAGAACCCAACTTCTCAGATTATTTGCTCAGCACACAGGTTGAATAAGTATGGTGAAAGAATACAACCCTGTCGCACACCTTTCCTAATTTTGTACCATGCAGTGTACCCTTGGTTGTTCTATTCGAACAACTGCCTTTTGGGGTATGTACAGGTTCCTCATGAGCACAATTTAGTGTTACAGAAAACTCATACTTCTCAGTGTTGTCCATAGCTTGTCATGATACACATAGTCGAAAGCCTTTGTGTAGTCAATAAAGCACAAGTAAGCAACTTTCTGGTATTCTGTGCTTCAGCCAAGAGCCATCTGACGTCAGCAATGATATCCCTTGTTCCACATCCTCTTCTGAATCCGGCTTGAACCTCTGGAAGTTCTCTGTCAATGTATGGTTGCATGCATTTCTATATTACCTTTAGTAAAACTTTACTTGCATGGACAATGATATTGTCCAATGATTTCCGCATTCTGTTGGGTCACCTCTCTTTGAAATGGGCACAAATACGAATCTCTTTCAGTCAGTTGGCCAGGTAGTCGTCTTCCAGATTTCTTGGCATAGATGAGTGAGTGCCTCCAGTGCCACCTCACTTGGTTGAAAGATTTCAATTTGTATTCAATCAATTCCTTGTGCCTTGTTCTTTGCCAATGCCTCCATTGCACCTTGGAATTCTTCCTTCAGTATCATTGGCTTTTAATAATATGTTACCTCATCAAATGGTTGAACATCAACCATTTCCTTTTGGTACAATGATTCTGTATATTCCTTCTATCTTTTTTTGATGCTGTCTGCATCATTCAATAATTTGCCCAAAGAATCCTTCAATACCGCAAGCCAAGCCTTGAATTTCTTCTTCAGTTCCCTCAGCTTGAGAAATGCTGAGCATGTTCTTTCCTTTTGGTTTTCTAACTCCAGGTCTTTGCACATTTTATTATAATTTTTTGACTTTGTCTTCTTGAGCTGACCTTTGAAATTTTGTGTTCAGCTCTTGGACCTCCTCACTTCTTCCATTTGTTTTAGCATCTCTACGCTAGAAAGCAAGTTTTAAGTCTCTTCTGAGATCCATTTTGGTCTTTTCCTTCTTTCTTGTCTTCTTAATGACCTTTTGCTTTATTCCTGTATTGTGTTCTGATGTCATCCCACAACTCTTCTGGTCTTTAGTCTTTCGGGTCTGATACATCAGTTCTGTTCTTGAAATGATCACTAAATTCAGGTGGTATATATTCAAGGTCATATCTTGGCTCTTCTGGACTTGTTTTCGTTTTATTCAGCTTCAGCCTGAACTTGCATATGAACAATTGATGGTCTGTTTCACAGTTTGCCCCTGGCTTTGTTTTCGGTGATAATATAGAGCTTTTCCACCCTCTCTTTCCACAGATGTAGACAGTTTGGTTTCTGTGTATTCCATTTAGTGAAGTCCATGTGTATAGTCATCTTTTATATAGACACCTGTTTCCAAAAGGCGTTTAAAATGAACAAATCATTGGTCTTGCAAAATTCTATCATGCGATGTCCAGCATCATTTCTGTCACCAAGGCCTTATTTTCCAACTACGGATCCTTCCTTTTTGTTTCCAAACTTTGCATTCCAGTCACCAGTAAAGATCAATACACCCTCGCCAGCATTTGTTGTTGTCTGTTCTTTTGAGCCTTGCCAATAACACTGGGATGAGATGATATCTCATTGTTTAGATTTGCATCTCTCTGCTGCCACAAAGATTTAAAGACTTGGAAAACCTGTGCAGGGTTGCTATGAATCAGAACCAACTCAACGGCACTTAACAACCACAACAACAATGGCTAATGACCGTGAACATTTCTTGATACTGTTGCATGATGAAGTGTCTGCTTGTGTCCTCTGCCCAGTTTTTAGTTGCTTGTTTGTCTTTTGTTGTAGAGGTATTGTTGTTAAGTACCTTCAAGTCAGTTTCCACTCATAGTGACCCTGTACAGGGTTTCTAAGAAGCAGTGTTTACCCTACAGTGACACACCACAAATCCAGAGTTGTAGTTTTCTATAAATTTTAGAGTTTAGTCCCTTGTCTGATATGTCATTGCAAAAACATTTTTTCCCGGTCTGTGGACTCTCTTTTTACTATTTTGGCAAATCTTTTGAAGCACATAATTGTCTAATTTTTAGGAGATCCCAGTCATCTATTTTGTCTTCTACTGTTTGTGTGTTTTCAGTTAGGTTTGACAGTGTATTTATTCCATGTACTCGAGTCCCTCAGTTTGTCTCTATTTTTTTCATTGATGATCTTTATATATCTAGGTTTTACATTTAGTTCTTCAATCCATGTTGAAGTTTGTTTTTGTTTATGATGTGAGATTTGGGTCTTGTTTCATTGTTCTGCAAATGGATCTCCAGATACAACCTTTAAGATGAGATTGAGACTCTCATTAGAACCCCAGAGCTTCACTTTACATTTAGTCTTAAAATTAGCAACCACTATACCATTGCTAAGGAGCTCTGGTAGTGTAGTGGTTACGAATCGGGCTGTGAACCACAAGGTCAGCAGTTCGAAACTACCAGCTGTTCCACTGGAGAAAGATGAGGCTTTCTGCTCCCGTAAAGATTTACAGCCTCGGAAACCCTGTACAGGGTCGCTATGAGTCGGAACCGACTCCACAGCACATAACAACAACATACCATTGCTGCTGCCACTGTGCCAATCAATCTTGTTGGGGGTCTTCCTCTTTTTCTCTGACCCTCCATTTTACCAAACATGATATCTTTCTCGATGAACTGGTCCCTCCTGACAATGTTTCTGAAGTATGAAAGACAAAGTCTGCCCATCCTGGCTTCCAAGGAGCATTCTGGCTGTACTTCTTCTAACTGAGATTTGTTTGTTCTTCTGGTAGTCCATGGTCCTTTTAATGTACTTTTCCAACACCATAACTCAAATGTATCAATTCTTCTATGGTCTTCCTTAATCACTGTCCCACTTTCACAGGATTTTGAAGCCATTGAAAATACCATGACTTGGGTCAGACACACCTTAGTCCTCAGACTGACATCTTTGCTCTTCAACACTTTAAAGAGGTTTTGTGCAGCAGATTTGCCCAATGCAATACGTCATTTGATTTCTTGACTGCTGCTTCCATGAGTGTTGACAAAGGATCCGAGCAATCTTTTCTCCATTTATCATGATGTTATTTATTGGTCCAGTGGTGAGGAATTTTCTTTTCTTTACATTGAGGTTCAACCCATACTGAAGGTTCTGGTCTGTGATCTTCATCAGTAAATGTTTTAAGTCCTCTTCATTTTCAGCAAGCAAGATTGTATCTTCTGCATATTGTGAGTTGTTAATGAGTCTTCCTTCAATCCTGATGCTATGTTCTTCATATAATCCAACTTCTTGGATTACTTGCTCAGCATACAGATTGAATAAGTATGATGAAGGAATACACTCCTTATTTTAAACCATTCAGTGTAGCTTGTTCTGTTCAAATGACTGCCTCTTGGTCTATGTAAAGGTTCCTCATGTGCACAATTAAGTGTCCTGGAATACCCCTTCTTCACATTGTTGTCCATAGGTTTTCATAAGAACGATATATAGGGTTTCCAAGGAGTGGCTGGTGGGTTTTGAACTACTGACCTTGTAGTTAGCAGTCCAGTACTTATCCTACAGCACCACAACACGACTCCTGGTTCTGTTTATGGTAATAAAAAGGAAATTTAGCAACAATTATTGTCATTGATATCACATAGAGCATCAGGGTGAATACCACGTGGTGAATGTAATATCACTAAATTTTTTATGTGAAAAATGGACAAATGTTGTGTTATATATGTTTTTACAAGGCACCTAGGCAAGTGGTTTGTGATGGATTGTTAACCCAAAGGTTGGTGATGGGGCCTCCCTAGCAGCTCCATGGAACAAAGACCTGGTGCGTGATTCCCATAAAGGTTATAGCCAAGTCAGCACTGTGGAACTGGTCTGTACTGTAACACATGAGTTGGGGCCCAGCCCAGCTCAACAGAAGCTAACGACAACATGTAGTTTTCCAAAAATAAAAAAAGATGGCTTTATGCGATATTGCTATGTTTGGGAGTGTCTGTAAAACATACTTAAGCTAGAGCAGATATTTATTGTTGCTTTTGTTCTAAGGATGAAAAGTTTAAATTTAAAATTCTTTTGCATCTCTATAGAAACAAAAATGTTCCAGTAAATCACAGAGACTTTTGGTATGCCACTTACACGTTGTATAGCGTATCAGAAAAGAGTAAAAATGAAGACAGATTGAGTGATAACGCTAGCGCGAGTTCTGGCAGTGACCAGGGACCGTCCAGCAGGCAGCATACCATGGTGTCCTTCCTCAAACCTGTCCTCAAGCAGATCATCATGGCCGGCAAGTCGATGCAGCTGCTCAAGAACCTACAGTGCGTGGAGAGCGCCAGCTGCCATGCTGCAGCGAGAGGTAGCCTGTCTCTTCTCCATGCCTCTGACCTCGGCGTCGTTATTTATCTGAATGCACAGGACCGCTAGGTTGGTTTGAACTGCAAGGTTGGTGGTTCAAATCCACAAGCCACTCCTTGGAAACCCTACACAGGGTCTCTAGGAATTGGAACCAGTGTGAAGGCACTTAACAATAGTTTTAATAGATATCATCACCCTGATCATATTAATAGATGCTGCTGCTCTCGAGTGATTGGAAACTATGTGAAAAGGCCTTGATCGCAAGGTTTGTAGGTGCAGGCAGTTGGTCCCCAGTTAGAAGAGATGTGCTCTTGCCTTTAAGTCTTTAAGTGGACTGTGTAACCGAGTCTCAAAAGGTACATATGGTCCTTATTTAGCCTTCCATTAGTGCAAGAAGAGGCTCAAAGCCTTTTTAATGATGTAAACGTCTGTGTGCCCCAGCAAGTGAAAGTAATGAAATATTTGTTGCTAGCAGCAGTTGGTTCCCTTATTTCAAAATGAGGGCAATTTACATAACATAGTCCTGGTGTTTGTGGTAATAAACGCTGTAGGATAAGCCCTGGGCCGCAAGGTCAGTTTGAACTGTGAGGTCTGCCGTTCAGAGTCACGGCTGCTCCTTGGAAACCCTACACAGAGTTGCTATGAGTCAGAACTGACTCGACGACTCTTTAACAACAACAACAACAAATGGGCGAGTAGGAGTTTCTCCATAAGTCAGACATTTTGTCATCAGAGATTGCCTGTATTTTGATTCTTGATTTCCTAAGTTTGGTCCTTTAAAAAATAATTTTCTGGAATTTCTTAACCACTAACTCAAACAGATATGAATTTATTGATGAGTAGTTCAGACTTGATCATGGATTTTAAGAAAATCTTGATATAATTTCTGGTATTTATTGATGTAATTTAAGCAACACATTTAAAGTTTAATCAATTGCTTTAAAGGGTTTGAATGGCATAGATGTGACTTTTAGTGTTTTGTTTGTAAATCATTTTACTTTTATACTAATTATTTTGCTTTATTATAGCTACTTTAAATAAGGATTATTTCCTTTTTTACTGAATTAAAAAAATGATCTTTTCAGGATCACTGTGAGAAGGGTTTTTTGTTTTTATTTCCAAATGAAATGATGACTCCTTATTAGTGTACAGTGGCAGCTGACAACAGCAAAGATTCCTGTTTAAGGTATTACGCTATTCAGAAATACACAGGATATCAAAATGTTTCCTTGTGTGGGTAAAGAAACCGGGGTAGGCTCCGAGGAAGCCAAAGGAAAAATACCAGCTGTGTTACACTGAAATTGCTTCGTAGTTCTTCATTTTGTTTGCCAGAGCATAACTTGCCTTACATTTTCCCTTATTTCAGATGCAGAGAGAAAAAGTTTATATAACCTTTTTTTGGAATCTGTGCAATCCCGTCTCCGGCAAGGAGAAGATACTACTCCACCAGGTCTTAGTGAACTGCAGGCCACCAAAGAGAGCCTCATTCAGATGCAGTCCATTGCTGAAAGACACCTCGTACCGGACGACGTGCCTGACCCACTGCTGGCAATAAACTTCGCAAGGTTGCGCACACCTGCAGATCTGTTTACAACTGAGATGCTGGGCTCTTTGTAGTAGCTGTTGATTCCTGATCAGGAGAACTTTTCATCTTAAAAACAAAAATCTTTATAGCCTATCATTTTTAATGAAAGGAACACAGAAAGATACTGTGTTTACTTATTTCAGATGTGTGACTTTACCTCCTTGCAGCTCAGCCTTGGCCCTGCTCTCTGAGCCTTCAGGACCATAAAGATAAAGAGTGCCAGCACTCACACAAGCCATGCTCCTTGAAGTGCAGCTTGTGGATGGCATCAGACATGGCAAGGAGTCAGAGTTCCCATCTGAATCAAACACACAATAGCTTCAGGTGCCTCTCCTAGTTTATCCAGTGAAACAAGTCATTGGTGCCCACACAGTGTTGTCTTATCCAGGGCTTCATTCCCAGGTGTAACCCTGGCTAGAAAGACTAGCTCAGTCACCTGTCTCTACAGCCATAAGACTTGGGTTCACCCAAAGGGTATTTTAGGAAGAGAGGTTTTAGCTTGGAATGATGGTTGTTAATTTTAAGACTAAACGTAAAATAAAGATTTGGGATTCTAATGAGAGTCTCAATCTCATCTTAAAGGTTGTATTTGGAGCAGAGTGACTTTCATGAGAAGTTTGCTGGAGGTGATATCTGTGTGGATAGATCGTCCGAATCTGTGACGTGCCAGACTTTTGAACTAACGCTGAGATCTTGCCTCTACCCTCATATCGATAAACAATACTTAGATTGCTGTGGAAATCTCATGCAAACATTAAAAAAAGACTACAGGTAAAAAAAAGTAAATTTGTTTTGGAAATGATAGTTTATTGTATTTTAAGAACAGTTGAAGAAATTATTCTGAAACCTGGATTACATCTTAATTTTTTATTAGAGTAGAAAGAAGAATTTGCAATTGTTTTCTTTCAAGAGGATTTCCTTAACTCTGTTTAAATTTCCGAGAATTTCTCCCAAAAGAAATACAGAAAAAGGTTATTGCCATTACAAAGTTTGCTATAAGAGTGAAAACCGAGAGATTACTTAATAATGGATGAATAATTCTTTAAATGATGGTATATTTGGACGGTGGACTTTATAGAATTAGTACAAGTTATGTTATGTTTGGTGTCCTGGTGTGGGGCCATGGGTTAATGCACTGGGTTGCAAAGTCAGTTTGAACCACAAGGTTGGTGATTCTAGCTTACCAGCCGCTCCTTGGAAACCCTATACAGGGTCACTATGGGTCAGAACCAACTCAACAGCACTTAACAACATCAACATGTTACGTTTGTAAAGGGTTTTGAATAGCAAAACTTGTTTTTAAGGTTTAGAAAGCAGGATATAGCATGGTAGCAACTATGCCTTTAAGAATATGCATAGAAAACAAGACTGAACGATATACCCTAAATATTAGTAGTGGAAAGTACCATAGATGGTGGGATTTGGATTAATTTTTTTTTTTAATTACAGTTTTGTGACTTTGCCTCATTTTCCAAAATGTTATAGAAAGGTGACATTTCTTTCTGATTATTAAAATATAACATATACTGTTTTTATTATGTGGAAGTATTTCAGATATGTTAACATTTCTAATCTTAGTTAATGTCGAATGTAAACCTGCTGTACACGAGTGATAAGTGTACAAATCCTGGTATCGCACAGAAATTCTATCGTATGACCCAAACATCTTTCTGTCGCTTCTTTTCTCCCAATTTAGGTTGGTAGAATACTTGCAGGCCATGAGAAATTTTTTCTTAATGGAAGGTGGTGATACCATGTATGACTTCTACACATCAATTTTTGATAAAATAAGAGAAAAGGAAACCTGGCAGAATGTGTCTTTTCTCAATGTCCAACTCCAGGAAGCAGTGGGACAGCGTTATCCCGAAGACAGTTTACGGTAAAACATAGGAGGCGCCTAGTATTTAAGATTTATAAAGCAAACCATGTGTGCTTTTATGAATTTTTATATATATCACAGAAACCCTCTGAATTGTTACTAACACTGTATTATAAATTACTTGAGACATAGAGTAGCCCAAGATTGTTTTCAGTTGTTGTTAAGTGCTGTAGAGTCAGTTCCAACTCATAGCCACCCTGTATAGGGTTTCCGAGGAGCAGCTGGTGAGTTTGAACTTCTGATCAGTGCTGATCCTACAGCGCCATACCAGGAGTGAGGGGAAAGCTGACGTGGGATCATACAGCTAATAATGGCTGGCTTGTGCAAGGTCTAGGGCCTCCTTCATGCGACTGGCCATTGGCCATGATGCCTTTGTTTCCCTTGGGCCTCTTATTGTCCAGTAGGACACACTAGCCACCTTAGGTGAAGGGTTTGGGTGCCATTGTTAGGTTATGAGAGCAAAGCCCCCAGGCCTCCAGAATCCAGGCTCCAGGGCTTGCCTTCTCTTCACCGCATGCAATCTCCAAAGCAAGTGACAAAGTGAGCCCAGGCTCAGGGGATGGGAAAGTGCATGCTGTCAAACTGCCACTTTGGCTGATCTCTGACCATGGAGCTAACTGACCATGTTTCTTCTCTGCTGGGCAGTCAGGTCAGTGGGTGGACCTCAGGAAATGTTTGTATAGGAGAGATTGCATCTTCCATACTGCTCTGACAGCCCTTTGTCCTGTTGCATGTCCTTGCTCACGTACCTTTTTTATTTCCCTTAGTGGCTCTTCACAGTCCTGCTAATAATAAGTTCATGACAGGGTTTTCAGAAAGTTCATGGAAAATGGAATTAAAAGATAACAGGAGTTTTCCAAAAACTTTTTGAAGCCCCCTCCTATTTACTGTGTGCCCAGTAAGACATTCTCCTCACAGGCACTCTAGGGAGTTACCACTTTCTAGTAGCTCTAAACTCCCTCTATACTGTCTGTTTTATGGTTAAGGACTAAGTTTTGATTTGTACAAACTTACACAAAGTCCAAATTCAAGCTTACACAAGCCAAATTCAAGTGTAACTCCAAAGCCTGAGTTATTTCTTCTACTCTTGCTGATAGGCCTTTGGCAGATGCCTTGTTTTCCCTTTCTCAGAAACCAAGACCAGTGGTGACAAGCCTGTGTGTGCCCAGTTGACAGACTCAGCTGTATCTGCACCTGTACTTAGCCCCAGCACTGGATTCGGGGAGGACTTTCTGCTGTCTAAAGACAGCCTCCAGCCCCAGCTGCCTTCTCTGTCATCTTGCTCCATCCCTCCTCCTCTGTGATGCATGAGGGTGCTCCCCCCTTTTCTGCTCACTGTTCATTCTTTCCACTCAGCTTGTGAGCAGACTGCGAAACCCCCTCTGGCTGCCATTCTTCATCTCTTTCTTCAAAACTGGACTCTTTGACCTAGTTGTCTCCTCTCCCATACCTTCCACTTCTCCTCTTTCTACTTCACCAGCACCTGATTTGTCAGCCTGTAGGTAATTTTTATTTTATGGGGTTGTTGTTAAG